CCCAATAGCATGTTCATAAAAAGGCCCTTAGCTCATCTCACTTAGGCAAAGATGGTGCGTGACTCGAGACAGCTGTTAGCATTCCACAATAGATATCAGAAAACCCTGAGATCATGTCCCTTGAAGATCCATCTACACTGCCTACATCTCTCCACAGTGGAGGCAGTTAGTGGAAAGAGTGGAACATTTCACAGTTACACTCCAATAACACTCCTAAGTCCAAATAACACCCCCCCAAAAAAAAAACAGCACACAGTTCTTAGCCCAGAATGGGTGCTAAACAAATGGTATTTCTTTCCCCCAGTGCATATGGTGCTTAAGTCAGACTGCTTAAGTCAGACTAATCAGTGCTGATTTGGGAGACATCTGTGAGGAGTTCCAGATATATCTCTCCACAAAAGGGACTCAGTGACCTGTGTCTCTAACTCCCATGTGACTCTTCATAGGATGCTAAAGTCCCTCCTTGGCGAGAGTAGACCTGTTTGGGGGAAAGGATTGGGGACACAGGGGATGATATGAAGCCATGTGGGAAATCATAGAAGCAAGTAAGCCAATTTGTTCCCTACCCAGTAAATGTCATGGGCAAAAGAACAAAGGTCATTCCAAGGGTGCTGGATCTGTGATGATTTACCCTGAGATTTCTTGACTTCCAGGTGGGAGTAAAAGTAACAGCCATTCAGCATCATACCTGAAAGTTTGAATTTGTATTATTTTCCCAGTCTAGCAAGGTGACATATGAAACCCCCACCCTCTCTCAATGGTGAGCAGCTACCACCAGCACTCTACAGGTGTTGTGTAGCTAAATTGAGCTCTTTGGGAGACTGAGTAGAGCCAATGCATTGTTCTCTTACAAGTGAGGAGGGGATTATCAGGGTATAACATTATGCCATGTTGAGAACCAGCTGCACTTGGGAATTAATGGATTTCTCAGGGAGTTCTCATCATTGCCTAAGAGACAGCCCATAAGCAAAGGGTATTTCTCATCCATGTGACATGAAGTTTCCCCCAAACACTGGCTAAGAAACAGTGGTTATTTGGTGGGTCCAATTCAATTATGTGTCTATGTTACAGCTAATACATCAAAGGATGAAGTAATTATTGTGATACTATGCTATGAAGTTATTCAGATGTATTAAACCTATAACAACAGTTGGCATTACTTAAAAATGAAGTCAAAGACTCGGGTGTGAAGCACCAGACACATGCTAGCATCATGATGGTTTTAAGGATCTTAGAGCTGAAGACAATTGCAAATGGGTTGATGCTATTAAAATATAGGTTGCCATTACATTTTTAATTTAGATATCCGTGGGGTGTCCTTCCATGCTGTTTCATTCACAATGACTAGATAGAAAAATTATTCAGAAATTAAAATCGACCAACTAGCTCATTTCCCTGCCCCCCCCCCGCCAACATATAAAACACAACTGTAGAGGACAAAAAACCAGGACTTACTTGAAACCCTCTTGTACTGGGCTTTGTAGTCTGAGCATGTGCAACGAGACTCCCTCCATCCATTGATCCCCCTCATCCATAGCCCATGCATCTATCTGTTGTATTTATGCATTTTCTTCCTTGTGTGGGTTGGCCACACTGTATTTGAATATTTCCACAAACTGTTAGGAACAATCTATGTTTTGACTATGTAGAAAGATCATCTGTTTTATCCTTCTACTGTCATTACGTACTCTCCTATTCCATGGGTTGGGTTGGTGGGCCTGGCCTTAATAGGGGAGTGATAGAGAAGAGGTCCCTGGTTTCTCTGCCTACTAAATAGAGCTTGTGGCATGACCCAATTCCAATGGTGCCAAGCAGTTTCAGGGATCAGAAGGGCTCTGAGCAGCACAGCACACTGGACCTTCTACAACTGATGATCCCAGCCAGTGAACAGTGTCCTTGAGGAAAGCATTAAGGAAGGGGTGGGGCTCCTCATGTTCCCACCTGGCTTGATGTGTCTGGGGATCCAGACTCACTAGGGAGGTGGCAAAGTGCATTAGGCCAGTCAGCCCCCTATTCTGCCTTAAGCTGATTAATGGGCAGGCTCAGAGCCAAAGGCCCATTGGAGAGAGGTTCCTTAATGGAACAGTGTTCTATAGGCAGTCCCTCATGGCTCCCTTGCCCCTACTACTAAGACCTGAAGTCCAGGAGCCATCTAACTCATGCTAGATGAAAACCAAATGGCAGCCAACCTTTGACTATGCAGGGTAGTCAGTCTGGTGGCCAGAATTAGTGATGGTCTGGATTTTAGCTTTTAAAACTAGGGTGCGAGCTCAATTACAACATGTATCGTTCAGGGGCTTGATACTTGCACTGGGGCAGGCCCCAGTACACTCAATGAGAGAACAGATGGGATCCCGTCTCAAAGGACTAAGAAGGCTCTCAGATAAAGGCAATTTTATTTACTACTTGTTCAGGTCCCAGGCTATGGCTGCCAAGTAAAATACAGGCCTACCCAGGATTTGAGATGTTTGAATTAACACAATCTCTTGTTTATCTTGTTTATGTGAAACTCAAGTTTCATTGGTGACTTTTCTGGGCACTCTACCATGGAGAGGCACAGATAAACAGAAGATCATGAGTATATAGGCTTCACTGAGCTTAATTCATCTTTTTGGTGAATTCAAGTGCAGAACAGTTTCTCTGACGTGCCTCCTGTGAACACCACTTGCCTGTGTTCACAGCGAAGTCCAGATGCTGCACGTCTGCCTGCTGGTTAAGGGACAAAATGGGACTGTTGTGGATGGATGAACACACACACACACACACACACACTACCACCACCACCACCACCACCACCACCACACCACACACCACGCGCGCACAACATCACAATGTTATACAGGTCCAACCTAGTCTGAACAAGCAGGCACAGAGACAAAGCCATAGAGCTTGACCATGGAGTTCCAATTAGTTTTCAAGTTTAAAATGTAGCTACAATGGCATCTCCCCTTCGGGGATGCAAGCCTCTGAGCTTTAAATATATATAGACTCATGTATATGTCCCCAAAGCAGGGGACATATACATCCATCCCCAGAAAACTCACCTAGTATCCCCAGCCCATGGTCCCTGCCCTGGTGGATCTGTTTCCTGCAGCTACAGAAATGGATTCATTCATCATGCAAGACCATTCCAATGGCTTCTTCGGGACAGTAGTATGCTCTTAGGAGTCACTTAACTTATATGACATTTCAGTGCACACTCTTTATGCTCAGCTGTATTCTAGTGTAAGGAATCCATCTACTGAAGGATGCACCTTCCCCTGTGGGGAGGTTATGAATGGGGCACTGATGAGCGCTGAAGTAAGCTTTCCTATGGACATAAGCTGTTCTTTTCCTAAATACCTGCTGGGGAAGATGAAACATGATGAGAATGTGGTTAGTTTTATAAGAATGTGGGGCTGCCCTACTGTGCGTTCCACAAGGTGCCTGCACAACTCCACTCCATTTGGATTTATGTTTATTTTCACTACAGACCTTCTTCCTCTATTCCGGATTTCAGCCCTTTTTGCCTACGTGGCTTACAAATACTTTCCACTTATCTTTTCATGCCTAATGGTTTGTCCACACAGAGACTATAAACTATAAAGAATGTCCTAGAAATTTCATGACACAGATATCTTTACTATCTTTATTTCATTCTTTTCTAAATGTATACCCCCCCCTTTTTTTTTCGAGACAGGGTTTCTCTGTGTAGAAACGGAGATCCACCTGCCTCTGCCTCCCAAGTGCTGGCTGGGATTAAAGGTGTGAGCCACCAACGCCCGACCCCTTTATTTTCTTTCGTGATTTCACTTCCTAGCATTTCCAATACAATACTGATAGTTAAACACCTGTCTTATTCACACACCTGGGGTCAGGGAGGCATTCAGTTTCTTTTAAAAGAAAATACTTAAATTTCAAATTACGTGCATATGTATATGTCTGGCTGTATGCACCTCAGTGTGGTGGCATAATGTCCCCAGAGGCCAGAAGAAAGAACTAGATTCCCTAGAGCTAAAATTACAAGTGGTTTTGAGCTGCCCAAGGTAGATACTGGGAACTGAACCTATCAGCTACAAGAGCAGAAAGTGCTCTGAAGGGCTGAGCAGTTCCTCTAGCCACAACTTCCTTCCTAATAAGAGATGGTTTTGATTTGTTTTCATTTTTGCTCATACTGTGGATTATGTGTGAATCTGTTGCTCCATTGCTGACTACATAGAGCCTGCCTTTAGCTGCAGGTCTTCCTCACTTCCAAGCATCAGTCTCCCTCTTTGGACAGCAGGAACAGCACTTGGGTCTCATGAGACTGCTGAAGAATGGAAACACTGTGTGTACCTAGTAACTGTTTAAGAACCAGCATTACAGTGCTTTCAGTATTGGAAGATCTATATCCCCCATGAGCTCTGTAAAGGGGCTGTTCTGTGAGGTGCTCTCTGTACCTGTCACCATACCTCCTTATGCAGAGCAATCTATAGTTGCCTGTCAGTGTGAGGGATGTGGAGGAGTGGCAATGAAAAAAATATTCTCCAGAAGCCTTGGCAGCCCCAGCCTGACACCCTCCATGCTTGGGGAGAGGAAGGCAATTGTGGATGCTGCTGTGAAGATAAACCCTGACTCTCAGGTCCAGTATGACTCTTATCACTGTCTAGTTACAGTAACCAAGGCCTGCTAGCTCTCCTGGGTCCCAAATGTGAAAAGGATATGATAGTCATTTTTAACATTCACTATCTCCTCCCTTCCAGGCTTCTATTGCCTCTGCTGGCAGCATCCCCTCCCTCCTCAGCCTCCCCAAGATGGTCTTATGACAATGCTAAGGAGATTGTATATTGACAGTCTGGAAAAGTAGCACATAGCCATACCTCTGGTACTTTTGCTACTGCTGCTATCCTGATTCCCCTCTGCCACACTGTGTTCTCTCGTTCTCTCTCCCTCTCCCTCTCCCTACTCTCCCCTGTCAGGGATCAACAGCACAGTGTGGTGTTCTGTACTAACTAGATTTGTCTTTTCTGTTCTCATCACAGACTACATTTGCAGTTTTATGTGACTTCCTCCTCAAACTCATCACCATCAACTCAGACCATACTAAGAGACCATGGCCAAGGGTGGAAAAGTCCCCAAGGGAAAAAAGATCACCCTCAATGTGGCCAAGAATTGCATCAAAATCACCTTTGATGGGAGAAAGCGCCTTGATCTGAGCAAGATGGGAATCACCACCTTTCCCAAGTGTATCCTGCGTCTCAACGAGGTGGATGAACTCGACCTTAGCAGGAATATGATCAGGAAGATACCAGACTCCATCTCCAAGTTTCAGAACCTGAGATGGCTTGACCTGCACAGCAACTACATCGACAAGCTCCCTGAGTCCATCGGCCAGATGACCACCCTGCTGTATCTCAACGTCAGTAACAACAGGCTGACCACGAATGGGCTGCCCGTGGAGCTGAACCAGCTCAAGAACATCCGCACAGTAAATCTGGGCCTCAACCACCTGGACAGTGTGCCCACCACACTGGGGGCATTGAAGGATCTCCATGAGGTCGGACTAAATGACAACCTGCTGAGTTCCATTCCTGCCAGCATCTCCAAGCTCCCCAAGTTGAAGAAGCTCAACTTAAAAAGGAACCCCTTTCCAAAGACAGAGGAGTCAGACGCGTTTGTAGACTCCATCAAGAGGCTGGAAAACCTCTATCTGGTTGAGGAGAAGGATATGTGTGCATCTTGCCTGCAAAAATGCCAACGGGCCAGGGACAAGTTGAACAAAATCAAAAACATGCCTCCCATAGCACCAAGAAAGGCCATCTTTTCCAATTTGGTTTCACCCAACTCAACGGCCAAGGAATCCCAGGAAGAATGGAGGTGACCTGGGACCCTGACCCTGAGGCAGGAGGGGGAAATGTGGGAGGAGGAGGAGGCAGTGAGCTTCACCCAAAGGAATGGGTCCTTGTGTTACTGTAGGAGCTTTTTCATCCAAGCCATAAAATACCATTCCCTACCTCTTGGACTATGGTTTGGTTGATTGAAGGACTTTGTCTCTTGCTATTCTGCATACTTCATTTCTTTCCTGCATGTAGTCTAGGGAACCAAGAAAGAACCCTCATCTATCTGTCCCTCTCATTCTGTCCTCAACTCTCCTGGTGCCACTCATGGCCCGGGGAGCGAATACTCATTCCATGAGAAATTTTTGGATATGGATCTCAGAGGTTAGCAGTCTCTGAGGGGTTCAAAGGAGATGGACAGATGTTACCATTAAACATTTCTGGCCAGGAAATAGTCAAGCCAGTCTAAGAGCTTTCTTGAAGGTCCTTGATAGATTGTGAACATGCCTAGTGCCCCTTGAGACCCTTAGGGAATGTGAGAGGTCATCATGATAGGAGGAAACCCTGGCTTGCATTGTGCAAGCTGGAAGAAAGACCATTTGAAAGGAGTTGGTCAGAGCATTCTGAACTGAGAAACTTAGAGGTCAGTGACAAATGCTAGAGCCTTTGAGCTTCTGAGCCAGGGAGCATGCAACAGATACTCAATGGAATTCAGTTCCCTCCATGAAGGAGAGTCTAGAGTGAAGCCAAAAGACTGCCATGAGCAGAGTCAGTGTTAAGTCTACACCACACACACACACACACACACACACACACACACACACACACGCACAACCCCCTCACAAGCCTATAGCGTATCTTTCACTCACACCTGCAGAGGCCTAAGAGTTAAGGGCAGAGGGAGACACCCTGCAGAGGCCTTTCTGCTGACTTGGCTAAGTGGGTGGCAAGCTATGCAGTAATGGCCAGTGCCCAGCTCTGGAGGCCTTTGTGCAGGGGACAGGCAGTGGCCAGTGCCCAGCTCTGCAGGCCTTTGTGCAGGGGACAGGCAGTGGCCAGTGCACAGCTCTGCAGGCCTTTGTGCAGGGGACAGGGTCATTTCTTCTTCACACTGTAAACCACAACAGCACAGCACCCTTCATCTTCTAGCTCCTCAGGACTCATTTTCTTTTCATGATACTTAGCTTGCAACACTCCCTATCATACTTCCAAAATCTCAGAATAATCTAGATTCAAAACTCGCATTGTAGTTTCTCCTGTTTATTAAATATTTTCCATTATAAAAATAGCCAAAGCACAGTCTAGCTTTAAATAGAGAAGCTTACCTTGTCCACCATTCTGTGGCGTGAGCCAGCTATAATAGTGGCATGCTTTCTTCCTAGTTATTTTTCTGTGTGTATGTTTTCCTTTGGCTAAAATTAGAGCACTCATGTCATTTCTACCCTGTTTTGAAACCCATGTTGTCACATGGTCTTTGGAGCCAACATTGTAAACATCTGCAAGACAGCCTTTCCCATGACACGCATAACTACGTTCCTGTGGGCATTTAAGTTGTTTCCAATTTTGCACTAATGGAAATATTTCTGTGATGAGTGTCTGGATGACTCAAACATTGTGACATGGTTTAGATTATTTTCTGGCAGTCCTGCATCACTGGAAATGGTGTGTCCAAGGGTCTTTTTTAAAATAGTTGTGACACATGTCATCAAGTGGACTGTACACCCTTACACTCACCAGAACCCACTCACAATCCTCCCCAATGTGACTACTTATCTTTATGTCTTTCTCTTCCTTTAATATCTCAGATGATTTATTGGAAGCCCATCTACAGATGTCATATCTGAGATGTGAATTACTACAACAGGGACCTTGGCACAAGGTCTATCTATTGAGAGTGGAAATAGTCACTCAAACAGCCCTGGTCTCAGGAGAAAGATATTCTCATCTGGTCTGCTGATGGGGCCCACAGCTGAGTCATTATGCATATATTTCTGGGCTTTTGTTTCTTCTTCTCTTTTCTTCTTCTTTGCCTGTCCTGACCACTATGTAGCGTAGGCTTGCCAGGAATTTACTGTGTAGATCAGGGCAATAGCCAAAGAAAGGCAGTAAGGGAAGCATTCAGCATCTTTCAGTCCAGCTCTACATGTCTAACATCTTAGAAACCGAGGTCTCAAGAAGATGTGAGCTGACAGTCTTTGGAGTCAGCTGCTGCTGCTGATGCCCTGACTTCTCTCTGCTACTCTGCTTCTTTCTCTGTAGCATCAGGGATTACACTCTCCTAGTTAGATTGTCTTTTTCTGCTCTTATCGGGGCGGGTGTTCTAGCAGAAATCTACCTGCCTCTTGGTCCCAAGTGCTTGGACCCCACACACAAACTGTTTCCCCTTCCCTACAAGTTCTAAGACTGCTTCAGGGAAAAGAGACACTTAGGAATTTCTATTTTCCAGGTTTTAGGCAAAACTCCAAAAAAATTCATTCATAAATTCACTAGCCAGGTCTTAAGGTTGTGAGTTCTGGGAATAGACTGGCCACTTAGGAACAGCATATAGTTCTGCCTTTTAGATGGGAAACTTCCAGGACTTCCATTTGTGGCTCAATGGCCATGGGTGAAAGATGAGATGGGGATATTCCCTGCTAGTATTTCCTTCCCTCCTTCTTTCCCTCCCTTCCTCCTTCTTTCCTTCCTTCTTTCATTTCCTCCTTTCCTTCCTTCCTTCCTTAGCCAGCAGTAGACAGCACCTTCTGCCTAGCCTGTGATAAAATGGAAAAACTGAGTGGCTAGTGTACAAGATGAAGTTTCGTTTCTACCCCCATTGGAGGTGCTCTCTGTACTTGCACTTTTTCCTGGGTCTTAAAAGGGGATTTAAGTACACTGAACTTCATCAGAATTGAGAACCAAGCAAGGAGACAGCTTTGATTTGTCTGGCATACACTGTAGTTAGACCCATTTTTAGCTAGGGAATGCTGGCTACCAGACAGAGCAAAGACTGGAGAGACAAAGCACTTAGACATCTTCTGCATCTTATTTAATATTGATGTTATTTCCTGCTATAAAATGCCACTGCCATGTTTAGTCCCATGAAGTTTCATTAAGCCTGGAAATAATATAAAGCAATGAGTTTCTCTTTCTTCAACTAGAAAAAAACTATTTGTAGTAACAGTAGTCTCTGTTTCGAAAGCCAGGTTCAGCCTGGCTTGATCACAGTATGTCCTGTGTTTTACCCTGGTTGCCTGGAGCAGTTGCCTTAGTCTCTTGTGTCTCCATTCCTCAGGTTGCGCCCAGCATCCACCTTATAGAATAGCTTATGGCAAAAACATCAAGACCAATCAGCTAGCAGAAATAAACAACTCTGAAGAGGAAAAATCCCAAATTAGAAGACAGAGTGGCACAGGGAACATTCTGGAAGACAGGCTCTCCGGTGCTACCCAAGCTACTGAATGGCTTTATGAATTTTACTTTGCTTCCCTTGGCTCTAGACTACCTGCTTATGAAAAATGCATTTGCGAGATATTTCTTATGGTATTCTGCATGTATGTAAAGAGAACATTTAAGAAATTATAAATATACATTAATAGACAACTAAAGACTTAAAAGTCTACATGTGTATAATTAAATGGATCAAGGAGATAAAACATGTATACAATGTGCATATGCAGAAATGTACTCAAATATACTATAGACAAGTTAAAAATAGAATTTTAACTATCCCCTTAGTTGTACACAAAAAGGCAGCAAAAGGAAAACAGGAATAATCAAGGAAAGCACAGACAAAAATTAAAATGGCCAGCTTGTGTTCTAACACTTTGATAATTACACTAAATGTAAATGGCCAATTTTATTTGTAGTGGCTCCAAACTAGAAAAAATCAAATGGCTTTCAATCTACAAGTAGCTGAGCAAACTCTGGTATCACATCATGTATAGAGTGCTACTCAGCAATAAAAAGAAACATACTATTTGAATATGCAACAATGCAACAACTTGGACAGATCTTAGTGGTATTATTCTAGGTTTTAAAGGGCCAGTCTCCAAATATTGCACAAAATGAAAGTTGTGAAAAGAAGTAAGCAGTTTCCAGTAGCTAAGAATGGCAGGCATTGCAGGGGTGATTCTGATGGTGAAGTGGCAGAGCAAGGGCTGTCTTTGTAATGATGGAATGATTACTCATAAGGATTATGGTGGCACTTGCATGGATCTGCACACATGACAAAAGTCACATAGATGCTAATATACATGGAATTGTCCTGGTTATAAAACTGTGTAAGTTAGTGGTTAAACCACCTGCTCCCATGGAAGGTGGGGGTAAAGGAGGCATATATAGAGACTCCACTGTTTTTGCAACTTCCTGTGAAGTACAGTTATTTTTAAAACCATACTTTAAAAACATAGTTTAAACTCAGTAACAAGCAGATCTTTGTACGCTTCTCCAGTACAAACTTCAGAGTCACTGTAGCATACCAAGTAATCCCTGAGCCGAAATTCTTCAGCCATGCTACAGAGTTAAGGCATTTCAAGCAAAAGAACATGTTACCTGCAGCTCACTTGGCTCATCTAAAATTACTCATTGTTAATTGTATCCTTGCCGAATCTAAGAAATCTGCTTTAAAAATGTATGACTTCTGTGTCTATGTTCTAAGCTTCATGGAGTTAGCTGGGCACAGGGAGCCTCTGGGTTGGATGAACATCTAAGCTGCTTCCCACAATTCCTAGACCTTTACACATCTGTTCCCAATCCCATGTTGTTTCAGGATTGTGTAAGAAGCATCTGAGTGCTGGAGTTTTGGTTGTCACACTCATTTTAAGTTTGTGGCAGCATTTATTCTACCTCTGGTTATAACTGTTGTTCCCTAGGTCCAGAGGGATAGATTTTTCATCTTCCATCATGGACCTCTCGGGGTTTCATATCATCAAGAAACCCAAGAACTGTAATGCTCCATTTAGGGAGGAGCTGAAATGGGCTTTGCTAAAATTATCATGAACATTACAGATACCCAGCCCTGAGCTAGTCCATTACACTGATCTCTGGGGAGGGGCACTAAAGGTGGAAGCATGGTAGGAAGGGGAACTTGATGTAGAGCTCCAGGCTGCTAAGATTGTGCCCTTGGCACTGTAACCAACTGCAGAATGGTCACCCTCTTATAGGAATTCCATAGCTTCTTATCAACCATATTCTAAATC